CGGCCTCCGCGGATTGGCGCGCGGGCTGGCAGCCATCAGGGCGCGCGCGAGAGGGTGCGTGCCGCACGCTGCACCCGAGAGCCGCAGCTCGGGTCGGGGCCGCCCGCACCGTCAACATCCCCCTCTCCTTTTCTCGGTGCGGCGGAGGTTGCCCTGGAGACTGCGGCCGACCACCGCCCCCGAGGCCCTGGGCCACAGAAAAGGGCGCGAAAAGCGCGCTCCCCGCTCGGGCGCACGCTCGGACCGCCGCCCTCGACGCATACTGCAGCATTTCGCGCCCTCGCGCCGCTCCCCTCCCCGTCTGCACTCATTTCCATATCCCGCGATGGTGGCCAATCAGGGCTCGCCTCTCTCGAAGCGGATGGCTTTTGCCTGAGAGGAAAGGGAGTGGCTGGCGGCGCATGCGCGGCGGTGGCTGACTTGAACCGAGGCTTTTATTGCTGTAGTTTATTTCCACCCCCTTTCCTCCTGTTCTCTCTCTCTTTCTTTTTTTTCCGCCCTAGCTGGGGCTGTGTTGGAGGGGAGGAAGAAAGAGAGACTGAGGATTGCATTTATCCTTTACATTCCTGAAATTTGCTATCAGCAAGGACCAACTGAGCGGTTGCACCGTTTTCAATCCTGCAAAAAAAAAAAAAAAATACAAAGTCTCTTTCCTGGCAATTTTTGCGTTAAAACTGCCCTCGTGAAATTATCTTTTTCCCGGGAGAGAGATGTCTTATCAGGGGAAGAAAAATATTCCACGCATCACGGTGAGTTTGGTACTTGGGAAATGTCCGGTGGGTCAGCAACCTTTGTGGCACAGAACATCTAAGAATTTTTAAAAAGGAGGGAGGAAGAGGTTCCCAACTCCGTAACCCCCTCCCCCCGCCCCCCGTTGCTAAAGGAGATCATGGTGGTGGGAGACGCAGTAATACAGAATTGTGAATCCCATAATTGTAAGGAATTAAAATAGCGTGAGTGCATTAAGGTCGTCTTAGATTGCGCGCCAGATCCGCTGTATCCTTTTTATTGTCGGCGAGATGCTGCAGTGCCGGGCTGCCGGTGTGAGCAAATGGATGCCAGATTGAATATGCATGGTTGGAGCTCGGATATTGTTCTCCCGGCTGCGTGCTGCGAGGCTGGACTCCAGGAGCTGCGATGGGGACATGGGGGAATGGATTCTCCTAAGTCTACCGCCCCCACTATAAAGGGCTTTCTGGATCCTTCCTGCGGCTGATTAGAAAAAGGAGCGGATTTCAGCTCGCAGGCGTAATGACAGTCGCGGGATGCTTTTAAGGGCAGAATGTACCGGAATGATATGGAAGCGCAAAGGAAAAACAGGGACGCTGTGATGAGCAGGGGCAGAGGTGGGGGGCCAAGGCAGGGCCTTTTGTTGACCTGAGGCGTGATGGTCCCCTTGGCGGTCTCCCCTTGTTCACGCTCTGGTTTGGGGCTGGACCCTGGGGGGGGCTTTGGGCTCGCTTTCTTGAATCTTTCTTCTCCTCTGCCCCTAAGGAGGTGTCCGTCTTTGGCGCGTACAAAGCGGACGGGGAGGGTGGGCGTTGGGGACAGCGCGGAGCCGGGCTCGGGGAGGTAATGGCGTTGCGCGACGCGCCGAGCAGATGGCCCGGCCTCGGCTAGACAATGATCGTAGCGGCCGCCGGCATCCGCGCAGTTCTGTGGTTAGTTGGGAAATCTCGAGAACCACGTCTAAGCGGCGAATTAGCGATGCTGCAGCCAGGAACACGGGTTCTGACTCTTACCGCTCCCCTTGCCCCCATTCTCTTCCCATCTTTTCCTGGAAAAATCTAGTCAGCCCTAGTCCTGTACATCCCCGAGTGAAATCCCAGAAAGGGAAGATCGCGAGGGAAATTCGTTGTTACATAATGGTAGCAATTGGCTGTCCGATGCCTAGACCCTGGGCTGAGGCAGACGGAAAGCAGTTGAGATGGGCTTAGGGCTAGGTTTAAAGGCGCTTTTTGCTCAGCTTTCCTCCTTAGCCACGGGCACCCCGACTTCCTCTGGATGCACAGGGGCACACCCATCCGCTGGAGAGAGATGTAGGAACAAATGCACTGGGGAGGGGGCGTGTGCTCGGCAGGATTTTTTCGGACGACTGGGCTGTACCACAGTGAGGGTGGGTACTAGCTTTTCTTGATTGCTAAACACCCAAGAACCCCAACAGCTGGGCAAGGGAGTCCCAAAATTGTGTGTTCCCTGCAGGGAGGGAAGTCTGGGGAGTGGGGGTGGGGAGCAGATTCGCTGCAAGCCTCAAATATTGTCTTCATGAATGAAAAAAGCAGTTTCGTTTTGACAGAAGTGGGGGGGGTAAGGAGGGGGAAAAAAAGCAGACAACCAAGACTACTGGTTTTTAAAAGAGCGCCCCCTCACCTCTTAGAAAATGTCGATTGTGTCTGACCCAGGACCTCTGCAGGGTTACCCTCCCTCCATCAGGGCCAACCTCTTATGTAAGAAGCCTCTGGAAAGCTTGAGAGCGGACAGTCTGTGATGCTTTTTTGTTTTGTTTGTTGTTTTGCTCCTTGGCATGAGGTTCGCTTGGGGATTCGCAGGGATGGCGGGGCAAGTACCCTGTGACTGAGGGAGCTGTGATGGAGGACTGGGCTTCTCCTTACCCCTCAGGCCACCTTTGTCCTGTCAAAGCAGGCAACCTGGGGAGAGCTGGGCGGTTGTCGCTGGAGGAAAGCACTGAGGATCAGGTTACCTTGACAAGTGGCTTAAACTCTGCGCCTCTATTCTCTTATAATGAGAATAAGGGTCTGTCTCCGCCTACCTGGAGGATTTGTTTTTAGTCTTCAGTGGCACTGTGTGAAGTAGGATTGAGCAAAGCTTTACATTTATGTTGAGCAAAGCTTTACATTTATCTTGTGCAAGTGCGGTTGTGTGGACTCCAGTCTCTGACTTTCCAAAGTCTACAGCAGAGGTACCGTCCCACAGTGCACAGAATTAAAGTGACCTTCCTGTTTTTCCTTACTAATAGCCTCTAAGTCCTGGCACATGTGCATTTTTGTGTTTCTCTTTTTGCTAGGCCTCTAGTAGCTGAGATATTTTTGAAAGGTTTGCTTTGGTTTTCTTGCTAAGCACTACATGCAAGTAGCACTTGCTGAGAATGTTGTTTTGTAACTGAGTTTTGAGTTGTTCAAATGAATTCCATCCTTGGAAATGTTTTGCATAATGAAAGGGCAACATATGGTTCAACTTGTAACTTTTAAACAGTTTGGAATAGTACAGGTAACACAGGATTTTAACATTCCATTCCATCAACAGCATTTGGAGTAGAGATGAGTCATAATGTAGCATTTCTGTTGCATTCCTGGCATTCATGGGCTTGTCTACATATATAATTTTTTTGCACCAAGTAAATGATAAGTGTATCACCAACCCATCATGGTGTTAGATTTTAGAATTTTCACTCAAAAAACTTTACCTTGTACTTAATTTAGTAGTTAAGGTGCTGCCTATTTGAAGTATTCCCCTTTCCTTTGCTACACTTGCTGTGATTTACCTTACAGGTAAATGAAAATATAAAGAACATACTGATTGGAACCTTGTTATGGTAGAAACAAGTGTGTTTGTGTAGAATAATCCATGACAACCGACTTTTGGCTAATTTTTCCCGACACAAACCTTGCCAAGAATTGGCTTCCCTACAAGTGGTTGTAGGGAAGTGTAGCCTAAAGCAATTGAAAGAGTATTGTCTTTTTAAACTGAAATATTTTCACTGTGCTTTAAAGAGAGATGAGCAGACTTTGGTTCTTTCCCTTATTTATTTTTTTTTAATTTTTGTTTGCAGGTTTAATGGCAAGATAGTTCTTTCAGGTAGCATAACTTTGCACTTTGCTAATGTATTCTGCTGCATCAGGTGAGGTATAGAAGGCCACACACAGATTTACCTTTGTCCTGGAACCTCTCCAAAATGAGTTTATTTTCAGCATCATATTTGAACAGCGAAATGTAACCCTAGCTCATTAGTCACCACTGTGCCAGTGTCAGGAATGCATTGTGACCTTAGTCCTTCTTTGTTTCAGAGTGATCGTCTTCTGATCAAAGGAGGTAAAATTGTTAATGATGACCAGTCATTCTATGCAGACATCTACATGGAAGATGGGTTGATCAAGTAAGTATAACTCATTTTGTAGAAATATCTATGCACCTTCCCGTTTTTAAAACAGCTCATAGGCAATTGTGTTAATCTTTAGAGAATTCAAAAAATAACTTATCTGTTTTAGCCCATTTTGATTGGTGGTAGTTAGTAAACTTGGAAGCTTAGAGTTAAGAATTCAAGGCCACCATTAAACACACACCCATTTCCTTACCTGTTATGTAACTTACTATTTTTAATTGAGGTGATATAATGTCTCCTTGTTGCCAGCTCAAGTACTTGGTAGATGTCATGTTGACTTATTCAGGAATTTCCTAGAATGCAGTTGTTTGGGATGGATCACCCCATCTAAGGACACAAGACATCACATTTGCTTTCCTAATCAAGGTTCCAAGTTAGAGGGTCCACAGGACACCAGATGAATGACCAGTAACACACATTACTGCTTCATTGTGAGGGGACTTTAGGTTTCATTAAGTGACAACTTGCACAAATAAGGCTGCCTTTGTTTATTGTATATTGTGTCATGAAGAAGCAGCCACACACCACTTGCTAAATTAGGGTATTTTGGACTGTAGAGGGTTAAGGAAGCTGAGTCCATACCAGCGTCCTCATGCCCTTCCCACTGGGACGGCTCCCAGGGCTCTGGAGAAATAGCACATCTGTTTAAAGACAAACATGGCAGCCAGTGACATCTTTTAAGTAAGCAGTATTCATCAAGTGCTAGCAGTGAACCTGTCCGGAGGAGTGGAAAACTGGAGTGGATGTGTCTGTTGCCTGGAAACTCTCACCCTGATTTATGAACCTAAAATAGGTTTTAACATTTCCACATGTAATGTTTTCTCCATGTGTGCTTCTTGTGACAGTCTCAGCTCCAGCTCTCAAATACTGTGACTTCCGTGTTCCAGTTCCCCCAGTTAGAGGGCAGCGTGATGTGGCTTAGTGGAAAGACACTGGCTGAGAAGAGAGCAAGGCTGTGTGCTATTTTCAGTCGCTACTAACTTGTTCTGGAACTTTATCGACCCCTTCTTGATTGCTTTTTCCTTTTAAAAAATGGGTGGAAAGATGGAGCAGCGATTTTTTTTAAAAATGGAAATGAACTAATGTCCCACAGTATAATAAATATTAATAGCCCAATTTATGATTTGAGTCATTTATCATATGCTTCTAAATTTTTAAATAGGTTCAATTATAGTGCTCCTTTTTATATTTTTGCCTTTATTTTGTTCTCCCTGCAGACTTCCCCTATTTTCTCTGCTGAAAAGCATGTGGTGAAAATAAA